CGTGGCGGTGGTGGTCTCCCACGGGGCGAGCGCAGGGGCACCGCGGAGGGCAGGACGTGATGCTGCGGACCGGGGACATCTCTGCTGCCCCTGAAAGCCGCCCGGCAGGGAAAAGCACGCTGCCACCGCGATGCGCTGGCTGGCAAACACTCGCGGTGGAGAATCTTTGGCCAAAAAGACCTCGGGGGGTGGCTCGCGGTGGACCAGAAATGCTGGTGAGGGCTTTGTCTCCTCACTCAAGCCCTTTGTTTAACGCTGGAGCAGTTTCTAACACGTTCGTTTAACCATTGCTGGGAAAACAGTGAGGAAAACTACGCTAGGTTTTTGACATAAAGTCAAATTATTTTTTCAGCTGGTTTCACTCCAAATTCCGATTGGGAAGAGGAAATCTGGGAAGCCGTTGTGGTGACAACGAGTAAGCGAGTAGCTGACAGCTTCCCTCCTGATGTGGTGGCCAGAAATGCCGCCACAGTTTGCCTCTGGTTGCCCCGGGGAAACGCTTGTCCTTGGGAGGGGCAGGGATGGGTCCGCAACGTGCGGCTTCCGTGGGAATGGCGGGGATGGATCCCGCGTTCTCCAGGGTAGAGGGTGCTGGGACAGGCTTGGGGGAAGCAGCGCCGAGGGGAGATGCTGCGGTGGATCCCCGGACACCGAGTGGGTTAACGCGTTATGGACAGGCACCGTTTGTTTGACCGGGAGCGAGGGGGCAGCTTTTCCACCCGCGCCTTTAGGGGTCGAAGGAGCCAAACGGCGTCTCGTGCCCCGGCTGTTCGGCACTGGCGGGGTTGGGGTGCATGAGGCGCGTGTACGTGCCCCCGGTCCAGCAGCACCGATGTCCCTGCCCAGCTCTGGGGCACACTCGGTTGCTGCAGAGAAAAACCGTGTCCCCCCGCTCCTATGTACTTTTTCCCTTCCCGGGAAGTTTCCTCCAGCTCCGAGCCGTTTTTCACACCACTGTTAAGGCTGAATTACTGCCGCCGGCTCCTTCGGCAGCTCAGTGTAGGCGCGTTTGCTGGCTTTGGCCGGTGGCGGCGGGACGTGACCGCTGTCGGGCTGCACCCTCCGGCCCGGCTCCCCGGAGCAGGTGACCTCAATCCTGGCGTTACCGGGCTCACCCTGACCCTGGGCTTGTGGGTGCCAAAATGCTTAATGGGCGCCACAAAGGGATGGGCTGGGTTTTCGGCCACCTGAATGTTTGTGATATATGTTGGTGCCTTTTGATAGATAACGCCATGAAAAGGCTTTGGGGATACAGCTCTGCAAGGGGGAAACACCTCCAGCTGTGGCCAGAAGACTTTAGGCTTTGCAAACATCTTCCAACCGCTGTTCGGCATAAAATAATAGAAATCAGGCTCAAGCGCGCAGTGCACCGCAGGTGCGAAGCCTCGGCGGCGCCTTCGCAGGCTGGCGGTGTTAGGAGCTTGGGAAACGCTCGCCTCCCCCAGCTGGGAGCTGGAAATGCACCAGAAGGGGATTTCAGGCCCCTAAAAGCTTCATCTGATTTTGGTTTCCGACGCTCGGTTTCCTCTGTCCCTGGTTGCGTCCCTCGCAGGCAGGAGCTGCCCGCACCCCTCGCTGTGCCGGCCGGTCTCCGCGCACGGGCTTGGCGTCCTACCCTGGAGAGAGGGGTGGGCACGGGCGTCCTCGGCAGCCGATCCCCCCCCAAACCGCAGCCCTCGACTGACGCCCCGTTTGGACCCCTGGGCTGCCTGGCAGCGCCTCGCCCAGCGCGGGCCCAGCTGCTGCCGTGATTGACGCAAAGCCAGTCTATAAATAAAGTCTTTCTCTCCTCTCATAAAGACTTTGCGGTTTAGTTTGCTTTCAAGGTCAAGATCAGACCTTTCTAAATAAACACATATCAAAGGATCATTAGCGGAGCAGCACTGTTAAATTGAGATATTAACTTCTGTCAGCCGCGCGTTTCCTTTTTGTTCTGTAACTCGCGACTGCGGCGGGTTTTTATTATTTTGGCCCTAGGCGGTAGCATCTGGCTTCTGTAGAGACTGTAAAAATTAAAAAGCAACACAAATCATTGCGAGAGAAAAGCAGTAAATTCAATGATAAGAATTTAAAATTAAAATGTTTCGGTGCTTTTATATTCCGCGAAACATGAAACGAATGAGTTGTGTGCCTGTTGCCATAAAGCCGCCGCCG